ACACACAGAGGGTACAGCCTCAGACCCACACATCCTCTGTGCCCAGGCGACGCTGGATGGTTTCTTCTCCTGGAGAAGCTACCTGTGCACTGATGCACTCTTCAGCCATCGACTCAATGCTGCCCACCCATTCTCTACCCTTTATTCTGAGACGAAAAGCAGCAGGAAAAGCTATGCACATGCCAAATAAAAACAGTGCCCTAGCTTGGGGATGCATACACAGACAGAATGGTTCCCTTGAGCTCTTCATGGCAAATCTCTGGAAGAACTAACAGCTCTTCAGCTAACTTTGGGGCCGGTACCTTTTGCTTAGCTGTTATGCCCTTACTGCCAAGATCCAGTGTCCAACAGCCTCATGTTGAACCACTCTCCAAAATAAAATCAGTCTGGGCTAACAGAGTCTTGCGGCTGCCTGCAGCTGAATCAGCACAAACACAAACTTTGCAGCTCAGATGTCTCCCAGCAAATTAAAACAGCCACACCATGTCAACAGAAGAGCTGGCAGCATGTCCTTGCATCGCTTCACTCCATCCCACAAAAGAGCTGGCTGCTGAGTTGTTCCGAAGCCTGCCTTCAGCCCTCCTCTGCTATAGCAGTCCCCCAAATCTCTTTCATACATCTCTTCCTCTTTCAGTGGTCTGGATACAGCCAGCTATTGCATAACCCTAATTATGTTATTGCTGTAATTGCGTCTGCTGTCTGCAGCGCATGGATTCGTTACAAGCTTTTCATATGCTAAAATGATTATTAATGAGCGCAGTCCCAACCCAGCTAGGGCACAACAACAGCCATGACAAAAAGATCTTTGAAAGGCAATTAGCTCCATGCTAAAAATTTCAGACTGGAGAGGAAGCATTGGCAACACGGCTTTTCTCTTCTCTTTTGATGAGTTAATGAGTTACTGAGTGGCAGCAGGCACAGTCATTCTTGTGAAACAGCTCCACTAAGGAGCCTTTCCTGGTTGGGACCAAAGGCAAGAGCATTTACGCCTGGCTAAACAGAGAGCAAGAATAGTCCCAAGTCATGGTTATATTGTTTTCCTTGTGAAAACAAAACAAAATAAAACAAAGACAACCCAGGGGAAGAGGAGAACATGAAAGCAACAAGAATAACTTTTTGAGAATAAGAGGGAGCACTACTGTATATTGGTGCATCCAAAATCCTTCCCCGTACAATAGTGGCAGTGGATGGTCTCACGGGTTCTCCCATTCAAAACAGGCTGGGATGAGTTTCTCTGCTAATGACACCTATGAAGTCTTATCCTACGGTCTAGTAATTCTCACATCTTCCATTTGAGATGCTGATTTGCCTCAGTGAGGGGTTTAGCCAAATTTCTTGAGGACTTCTGATGTATAATCATCAATTTTGGTTGCCCCATCCCTGGAGGGGTTCAAGGCTTTGAGCAACCTGGGCTAGTGGGAGGTGTCCCTGCCCATGGCAGGGGGTTGGAACTGAATGGTCTTTAAGGTCCTTTCCAACCCAAACCATCCACAGCTTCTCTGGGCAACCTGGGCCACTGCCTCACCACCCTCACAGGAAAAAATCTGACCAAGCAGTCACTGTCTTCTACTTTTACTCCTAGTCTTGAACCTTTGGTGGCAAGCTGGATAGATTTGCTGCTTGGCTACCTTTCCATCTCATCCAGAGGGAATGTGGCTTAGTCTTGCATTCCCAACCTCCTGCTGATGAGTGCAGCCTCTGGAGCAGTGGAAGTGTGCGTCAATGATCTGCCCAGGTGGGATCTGGTGTCCCTCAGCATAGCAATGCTCACAGGAGCAGCATGTTGGAAAAGCATCTCATTCCCCTTGTGGTGTCTCACAGGGCAGCTTTGGTGTGCGTGAGAGCTGTCAACTGCAGGGGAAAGGGAAGCAGCACGCGAGCAGCCTTGCAAATGCCAGCAGTGAAAATGTAAGGACCTCTGAGGTTTGGTGAGAGCTTCGCAGTGGTTTCAAAGGCATTAGGGGTATGCAAATGGCAGAGAGGGCCTAAGTACCTCTGAGGAGCTGGGCTCAGATAGAAGGTAAATAAAGACTCAGCAGGGATGTTGTCATCTCGCTGCCAGGATGCTTTAATATACACGTTCATAATTTCTATAGATAGTGCAATGATGGCTTCATTAGAAACACTTCTGTATAAATAAGTCATTTGGTGATGGCAGGGTTCTGATGGAAGGAGATTATATGTCTTCTCCTGGTACTCACAGCTGGGTTTGTTTATTGCTACGTTTGGGTTTTTCCTTATTTTTTCTTTTATTTTGCCCCCAAAACACACTTCCACAGTATCTTGGGTTTGCACTCTTAATGGGAAATGACTGCTCAGGTGTGTGGTGACCAGGGAATTGAGTCTGGGGGAGACCAGGACACTTTGGTGTTGTCGTGGGTGATGGCCCATGAACCCAGCACACTGAGATCACAGCTTGAGAGTCTCTAGTGGCTGGAGAGGTCTCCAAGCCCTGAAACTCAGATTCTTGCATCCTGTCCTTTGCTCCAGAGATTACTGCGTGTTGCTTGTTGTTGTTCAGATGAGTCATGGGAGTGTTATGCTGCTGGGAAAATAGCTCTGCAGGGCTGGAAAGGGACTGGGGAGCTCTCAGACCCTTGTGAGTCACAGGCCCAGGAGAACATTGCTACCAGGTAAAAGCAAGACAGGAAAAACTTGGAGAAGCAGACGATGCATGTGTCTGCATTCCACTTTTTAGAAATGCCCCATCCCTCCACCCACTATCCTGCCACCTAACTGATGGCTAGCCAAACCAGGGAGGAAAAGGAGGAAAAAAAAGATTTTAACTGCTTGTTGGAGCCAGACTGGCAAATAAAACACAGTACCTCTTCTTTCCTCCAAGAGCCTCATTTATTTTTTTCCGTGATGTAATCCCCTCCACTCTTCATTTCACCCAGCAGTAGGGTGCCCATGCAATATTCATAAGGAGCTGGGCTCTTCTCCATGGGCTCTTCTTAGGCACCATAAATCAACTCATTTCACTGCACTGCAGGGTCTTTTTCCCCACACGTCTAGGAACTGTGCTGGTTGCACAAGGATGTAGTTTTCTATGGGTGCCTTGTTTTTTGGCCACAAGACTCCTTGTTCCTCAACAATATGCTTTGGCCCTGAGGATGCCACCAGTACCTGACACTTTCTCTTGTTGGAGTGCATGCAGCACAGGTCTGATTTTGTCCAGCTGCTGATGCTGGGACCTGTTTGTGTTTTTTGGGAGCAGCAAAGGTGTAGAAATATTTATTCAGCCTGCTCACCATCTTCCCCTGGAGGTAGTTCTGCAGGACAGGTCCTCGTGGGGTTTCCAGATTCCTGCTTTACTCATAGTTCAGGTCCATTTGAGGACTGAGGGGTAGGCAGAGTGTAACATCAAGCCCAAACCACTCATCACTGGAGTACTGGGAGCTGGAAATACTTAGAACATGGAAGTGAGTTAGACCAGGATTTTTGGCTGGTCCTGTGCCCAGATGACAAGATGCTAGGACTGCAAGGAGATTAATGGTTTTGTGCATAATAGAAGTTGCAGTAAAGTTAATGAATTCTGCATGAGTTTTTATGGTAAGCCAGAATCTAGTTCTGGAAGCAGTCAGGCTGGAAGACTATACGTAGAGCTGGGAGAAGGACCTCTGCCTCATATGGCTTTTCTCTCAAGGGTTACATCAACCTCTCTCTTCAAAACCAAGATAACATCTGAGACCAACCAATTGCAATAAATCAGGATGTAAGTACGGTGCACAAAACCAGACTGAGGCTAAACTGGAGCCTTCTGGTGTGGAGGGGTTTTCCTCCCAGTGCCCTTGGACTGTGCTGCCTTTCATAGGAGAGTTCATCAGCTGCTCATCCCCCTCTGTCATAGAGAGTATTTTCCCACTTGGCTGTCTGAAGAATCCTTATCATGCAGCACTTCAGTGTCCAATTTCTCTGCAGTGGAAAACAGCCTCCATCTCAGCAGGTGTATCAAATGCTGTTTACAGGACACCTGTCAGCTCTTTTGGTTCCCCGTCCCCTCTGCCTCCTAATTATAAAATTGTGGATTGCTGCAGCTATGGGCTTTTTTTTTTTTTTTTGCATTTTCTTTCCTTGTGCACAAAATGTCAAATTGCAGAAATTAAAAATGTAAATGATGGCGTCTAATTAACCAGTTGACAGCAGAGCACAGCTGCGAGTGACAGTGACTGATTACCTTCCACAAACCTTGTCCTCCAAGACCTGCCTTACCCAGGGGACAAAGGACATAGAAAACAGCAGCTTCCTTAAAGAGACGTTGCTCTGCTGATGGAGCCTCATGGGCAATGGTTCTGGGGGCTCCATAGCCTACAGATAAAGCCCATCTTGAGCTAAAGAATGTTATTGACTCCTAAGTGAAGCAAAATTTCCCCAGTCAGAGTGGTTATGGGGATGTTTTGAAGCTCATTGCCACAAATTGTGACATCAAGCCAGATAAAAATTTGGGGCAAAAGGGAGATGTTGAGCATCAGAGGAGTTGCTGGGATAGACTGGGTTCAGTGTGGGAGTTGGATGATAGTAGCAATGGATGCAGATGTACTAGTGGGAATGGTGCAAGAAAGCATGCAAAGCTTTTTTGTCTATGGGAGCAGAATCCTGAGCTCTCAGTGGGCGGCGAGATCAGTGGGACTTCTCTGTGAGACTGGAGGTAGTACTGAAAAACCCTGAAGGGCTGACAAAGGAATCTAGTGTCAGTAGGTATTGCCTACTTCTCTGATGGCATGGAGAAAGTTTACAGGATGATCTTTGGGAATTCAGTTTCAGGCTAGGGTTGAGTGAATACAACACACCTCTGGTATCCAGGAATTGTGCTTCCATAATTTCCACTTTTGAATAAGTCGTCTTCCTTGTCGTAAACGAAGAGCATGACCAGGTATATCCTTGATATACCGAAAGAGCCCAAGAGTGCTAAATGTGTCCTTTCTCCTTATGGTTGATAGATTTGATCTCTTGAATGCTTACTTCTCCCCTGAAGAAACACCTGTATTTCTCTCTCTCAGGTACTATTCAGACATTGCCAAAATGCCAGCAATCAGTGACCAGGACATGAATGCATACTTGGCTGAGCAGTCTCGCATGCATATGAATGAGTTCAACACAATGAGTGCGCTCTCAGAGATATACTCCTACGTTGGCAAGTACAGCGAGGAGGTAAGAGCCTTGGAGAGGGGAAGAGTCGTTCTGCAGGACCATGGGACAGCCCACGTGTTCCCAGGTCCCAGCACATGTCACAGACACCTATCTTCATCCTATTTAAGGAGATGATGGATTTAAGGAATGAAAAGCAAGGCCTGGGCTCTGTAAAGGGCGGGTCTGGGATTATTGGTCTCCCCAGTACTCTGCCATCTGAATTCCAGTTATTTTTGTCACCTATTATTAGTCCACCAGATTTAGTTGGCTTGCAGTAGTCAATGGTCAGATGTTAGCTTGCTACAGAGGAGCTCTACATGAGCTCTGCATCGTATGTGGCCAAAAGTTGTTTAAGCAGATGTGCCCAGTGCCATTTCAGATACCCTAAAGCACCCAAGAATGGCCCAGCAAGCATGACACAGGACTTAAAGGTGACCAGCATGGTTCTGTGTGTTGAAGACCAGGTGAGGTACCTTAGGGCATCTCAAGTGGCATGGCAAGATGATGAATAAAGGTACAAAATAGTTGATCTCCAACATGAGAATCCATTTTATTGGTTGTAATCTAGAGGTCTGCATTTAATCAGATCAGCTCCAAATTCCCTGCCTAGTTCCCTGCTGTCTGACTGACCTGCTTTGCATGATCTAAACTAAGCCTGGGACCTACCTTAGAGAAAGCTAACCCTCATCTGCTGCTGTAATATGCTGGACTCAGTCCTTTTGGGGAAAAAAAAAAAAAATCCCTATCACTTCTTTCTCTCTTCTTTTCCAGATTCTTGGGGCCCTTGATCAAGACGACCAGGCTGGGAAACAGAAACTTGCCTACAAACTTGAACAAGTCATAACCCTCATGAGCATAGACAGCTGAGAACTGTCCTGCCAGGGACACCCTGGGAGGGATAAACCAAGTCGTGCCTCACTCAAGATCATCATCTTTACCAAGTGCAAGTTTTGATCGGCTGTAAGCAGAGTCACCTGAACAGCGCTCCTCTCTCTCTCTCTCATTTTTTTTTCTCTTTCAAAATCGATGGACAAAGTGACAGAGCCCCAGGGGTTAAAAGAAAAGACTGCAGAGGAATCTTGGCTCTGGGGATATCAAGACATTCGGGTGGAGCTCTTCTTTTCACAGCTTCCCCTTTGCCTTTGCCCTAGAGAAAAAACTATTACACCCAACCCTCCCCCACAAACCCTCCCCAAACATCACATCATCACTCTGCAGATGGGAAATTGGGAGGTAACTTCTATCATGCTGCTTTAACTGCCCTCCAAGGGCTGTAACCTCTAGAGAGGGCATGGAAATGAACTCAGTATTACTAAAGTCTCCCCAAGGGGAAGATAGCCTGCCTGTAGGGATCCTGGAGGGCAGGAACAAATTGAGATCCTCTCCTGCAAGAGCCATTGCTACTCTATCTCTTGATAGTGACCCACTGGGAGAGGAACCCCCAAGGCTCCCCAAAAAATGCCACAGCTCCGTCCAGAGTGGGACCATTGTGGCTCTTACCTGCCTGGGCAAACACCGGTGTAGCTGCTCTCTTGGGGCAGGGGAAGGGTCAAGAGGGGAGGAGGAGACTGATGCTCCCCTGCCAGATGTTTCATATGGTTATTCTTATTTTTCAAAGAGACCTGTGTCCCCCTCCGTCTTTCCCATTGTGTCCTGTTGGTCATAGCACTGCGGCAAAAATTCTCTCTCTGCTCAGTGGCATCCTGTCGGTGTTGGTTCTGTTCCTTCTGGCCGTGGACAGCACAGTATCTCATTCGTTCCCACCTCAGCTTGGAAAGCAAGAGACACAACTCTCATTTTGTTCCAGGCAAGGAGTTTGGCCTCAAAAACCAACTAGAGGGATTTTTTTTTTTTTTTAAAGAAGTTGTCAATTCTTTCCATTTTGTTTCCTCAGCTGGAACAAAGCTTTTGTTTTCTCATGGTGGAATATCAGAAGGATACTGAAGGGCTTGCCATGAAGCAAGGTGGTGCATGAGACTGATGGTAAAAGCTTTCTCCAAAGCCACTCCTAAGAGGAAATGTCACCACACATTTTGGAAGGAAATCTTGGAGGAAATACAAATGAAACACTGCAAAATATTCTTCTACCTAGACACCCCCAGCCTAACTGCATGTCTTCTGGAGGTCTCTGAACCACCGTAAGCTCATCTGCCTTTTGGTGCCAACTCCTGGCCTTTCCTCTTCTCCATGTCTGGAACCAACAGGTCTTGCTGAAGGCACAGTTGCTGCCTGAGAAGGATTTGCTCTCTCTTTGCACTTCCTATAGCAGGAAGGACAATTGTGGGTGATTACCCTGTCCTATCATCTGCTCAGCTCCTCCAGAACAACATCTCAACCTGTTTCACCAAAGCCAACCAAAGAGGAGTGAGCTCCTGCATCTCTTCTGCATTTGGCTATTTTTTTCCTACAGCCTGGATAACACCATGGTTCACCCTAGTGCGAGACCCTCAGGGTCCGGAGAACCTTGCATTTTGTACACCATGGAGGTGAGAGCTGGGTCTGCATTAATCTCACCAGAAATGAACAGTGCTCACTAGCAGGTGGAGGAGTGCCATGATGCCACGGAGTATCAACCTACATCCGTCTCACACCATCCTCCGAGCTACAGCCTGGATCTACTTTGCACCTGAAGGGAGGAAGGGGTCAAGACAGGGTGTGTAAATTAATTACCGAATGAGTGCATTTGGTTTTATTCATGCTTATTGCTAGCAAACCAGAACCTCTTCAGGGTGATGGATCGTGAGTGCGTCTAATGGGGAATGTGGGTGCAAACAGGGGTCAGTCAGCAAGCGGGTTTTGTTCAGCCAAGCAGATATGCCTGTAGGCAAGTCCTTCTAAAACCATTTAAAGAACAGCAGTCCCAAACTGGATGTGTCTGTGGGGAGAATATCACAAGATTCATATTGAAACAGCAAACGTAGGGACACGTCTTGGTTTTGAAACCCCAGACATCTCTCTCTTGATTATAATTATTATTATTATTTTGTGCGTGTGTGTGTGTGTATCTGTGTGCGCGTGTGCGTTATTTTCTTTTTCATTTTGCTTGCTTTCTGTTTGATTGCTGAGCTGATGGACTCATCATGCACCTTATGGACATCTCAGCATTTTTAAAAGAGGCCTGTGCTTTGGGGATGATTTGAGTTTGGTTGGTTCTGCCATGATTTTGTTGATCCATTTAGTAATGTCGGCGCATGTTCCAGATCCATTAATTATGGCTGTGAAAGTGGGGTGGAAATCCCACCAGAGCCAGCGGTAAGAAAATTACAACAACAACACAAACACAATATTTTTTATAAGTACATAAAAAAGGAAAATTAAAAAAAAAAAAAGGAAGAAACCAAAGGTTTTGACAAACAAAGTGCCACAAAAGATAAATATGGACCCTATTGTCATGCCTTGTACTCACAGCTGGATGGTAGGAGTCTAAGGACAAATAGCTGGCTTGGAGGGAAGTGGTTATGAGTGATGGGCTACACTGCCTGGACATGCGCACATGAAAGGAAGAAGAAGCTGTTTATAAAAAAAAAAAAAGTATCAAAATGAACTGGTGTAATCCTGCACTGTTACAGAAATCAGAGGAACACCACAGGGGAAATTTGAGACTCACCCTGTTTTTTTTTTTTTTTATGTTTTCAGAGCTGTGTATTTGTTTTATTGTGGTTGTTTTCCATTGTTATTATTTTATTTCTTCTTGCTGGTACGGAGTTTTTCATCTGTAATATGTATATATATATATTTCAAGAAAAACTTGAACACCTCAGAGACACTGAGAATGAAACACTTAGGGGAAATGGGAAGTACTATGAGATTGGTATCTTAACCCTTCCCAAATTCCCATTTACACATTTCTGTTTTCTCTCTGCCTTCTTCTTTCCCCCATCCCCCGGATTTGAAACAAAATATGTATTTTGCTTCTCTTCCATGTCCTCCTCTTTTTTTTTTTCTTTTTTTTTTTCTTTTTTTTTTTTTTTTCCTCTATTTGGTGTTTGAGCTGGTCTTGGCTTTCACTTGGAAAATGTGCCAGAATTGTGATGTAAATGTGTGGGCTTCCCTCCCCTGACCCCTTCAGCACCCTCCCCATTTCCAACCACTGTCCCAGCATCCCCCAGTCTATAAGAGGTCTTGGCATCTTTCTTCCCAGCCTCACCTGTTGAGCTAACTATTTTTTAAGTGCATGTAAAATACAACTAAAAACAAAAACACAAGCAGAAGAATGAGCCCTACCACAACATGGATGCTTTCTTTTCCTCTTCCTTTTACTTATTTCCCCCCATCTCCCTTTCCACACTTGACCAAAAATTCCCAACAGGTGGTATTCCACACTGATTTTGAAGACACATGGAGAGAACCAGAGCCAAAGTCCCTAGAAGTCAATGAACAGGCTCCCAATATTCAGAATATGCCACCTGATAGGCTGATCTTTAAGGGTATTTCTCAAATGGTATTTTTCAAATGTTGTAATCAAGACAATGAACGCTGGCACTTGGAGCACCATCAGAAATGGTGAAAAGGAACTCATGAAGACTCTGTGTGGTCCTACTGAGAGAGCTAAGATTATTTCTTCACTTCAGAGTTTGCTCTGGGACTTTGCATCTGGGTTGGAGGAAGAAAAGGAGAACAGCCCCTCTGCAAACACACCGTGTCCTCCCTGTGAGTGTACTCGCCTATTAATGTCATGGTGATCTGAGACATAATCCATCGCATCATGTGCTTTTACAGGCTGAGCCTTCTGCTAAACACTGTTGTAGGAAGAAAAGTTATGTGTTATCTGGAAAAAGATGTTAGAAGTCGTTAGGGCTTGAACAGACAACACAGAAGGACTACTGAAAAGGAGAATTGCAGCCACTCAAAGGCACCTTCTTCTCCCAACATGCCCTAGTCCTTCTCTGCCCACTCTTCATTCTGTCCTGACTATATCCTAAGGTTTGGTCCAATCCAGCATACACCAGCCTTGCGCTGTTAGGTAAGAGGGCTATGCCAATTTTCTCATCTGCAGTTGCCTTATTATACTTCTTTGACACTGGACACCATAAAAAATTGTTATCACGTGAAAATTTATGAGCAGAAGTTTGGTTGGTATTTGTTGTAATTGAAAAGAATTACCAAAGTGTCCAGATAATGTGCATTAGCCCACAGAGAGATGTTCACCATGAAGGGAGAAAGACAAAGAAAATCACATAATTGTCATCGTTATTTTTAATATTGTTGTTGAAAACTGATAGAGTGTTAAGAGTCTAGTGGCTATTCTCACTGTTGAGTCAGCCAGCACAAAGGTTACACATCCCTTCCACATTTCCTAAAGGCAAGTATTTCTGTGGTGTAACAACCCAAGCACAAACCAGCTAATATCAAGAGGAAAATTGTTCAAAAGTAAGCCAAAACACAAAACGTCTATCTGTCTTTCCTCAAGGCTTTAGTGAAGTGCTTTGGAAAGAGACACTGTCATGTGGAAGACTTCCAAAGGAAAACTAGAAACCTGAAAGGACTGAGTCCCAGGGCTCCTTTTAGTGGGGCATACATTTGTGTCTCCACAAAGGACCCACAAATCCAAGGAACATCTCATATCAAAGAAAAAAATAAAAATTCTGGGCTGCTGGAGATAGCAGGACTACTCTCTCACATCACCAAGGCGAAAGTAAAACAAGTCATGCTTCACTCTTCCCAGCAGCTTGTAGAAGAATTACTCACGAAGCAGAGGTATCTAATAGTGTGGAGATATTGCTTGATGCTGTAAAAGGAATGAGAATGAGGAAGAAAACTGGTCCTGGTTCCCAAACTCCTGGGGCAGGCTTTAGTATTGTCAGAGGTTTTGTTTCTCCATAGAAATCTGTTGCTTTCTGTGGTGGCCATTAGTCATGTGGGAAGAT